TAAAGTAAATATGTACTATTATCTTATAATATAATCACATATTATTTATAAAACTATAATATTACATAATATTATAATCATATCATTTTTTTAAAAGACATAATAAAGCTTTTAAAACAAGGCACCATTTATGTATATGTGTGGACCTTTTCTAGCAACTTCCGTTGTAGTGTATGCCAACAGGTTTTCTACCTTTTCCAGTGACAACTTATGCACTACCAAACGGCTTAGTGAGCCCAAAAGTGATTGCCATGGCCAACCATCCTCCCATCAGCACCCTCAAGCACGACTTTACAATCGGTGAGCCTCCCAGAACCGCCCCCAAGACACCGAACCCCAGCAGTGCCAAGGTCACCACTACTATCACCACTCCCAACCTCAACCCGTAGTTCTTTATAAACGCTGCCCCTAACAGCGGCACCACTGCTCCCATAGAAAAAGACAGCGCAGATGCAACCGCCGCCTGCAGCGGACTAGGCAGACCCTTTTTCCTCACCTCCGCATCTCTTTCGCTACAATTTCCCGAAGCAACATCACGGTTAATTTGTTCCATTTCAACGTCGTACTGCGAGTAAACAGACACGAATTCTCCTATCCCCATGCTACAGGCACCGGCTATCATACCAGCTACCCCGGTGAGGATCATGGTGATAAAGTCCTTGCGCACGGAGCCGACACCCATCATGAGGGCTGCAATGGAAATCAAACCATCGTTTGCGCCTAACACGGCAGCACGAAGCCACTGTCCTCTCTTGGAGTAATCGAAGACGAACTCGATGTCTATATCAGAGCTAGGGGATGCTGGTTCTCTAGGTCGAACGGCAGCCATGGAAGAACTGAAAGCAAAGCAAAGCAAAGCAAAAGGGTTGTGAAAGTGGCTATGGAGTAGTTAGGGGTCATACCCCATTAAATATAAGGGGTAGTGCCTAGTGTGGAGGACGAACGTACGCCCACTGAGCGGGAAGAACGTTAATGTCAGATGGATGAGATCAGAGAGAGGAACGAATATTGCGTTGATAGTTGATACAACAGAAGAAGTGACTACATTAAAATATTATGAGATTTTTCAAAACCCGAAGCCACTACATTAAATTAGTACGAGATTTTTCAAAACCCGAAGCCACTACATTAAATTACTACGAGATTTTTCAAAACCCGAAGCCACTGCATTAAATTACTACGAGATTTTTCAAAACCCATGCCTTAAGAGTCCTTTTTAATAATAAATTTATATTAAAAAAT